TCATTATTTATATTTTTGAGAAAAGCTATTTTTTAATTTGTTTATTTGTTTATGCGACTGCAGCACTTTTAACATATTTAAGCAAAAGAAAAAAATAAATTTAAAAATTTTCATAAAAGAAGTTAATTACTTTATAATATTTATTAAATAAATATTTTCCAACCACCTAATTTAATATTCATTCAACCTTTCATTTTACGTAAATATTTGTTTAATTTAAATGGCAATTATTTAATAAACATGTCCTTTTAACTGCAGGTGATAATTTTAATTTAATCTAACAATTTGTTAATAAAATTTATTGTAAATTATAAAGCCAAAGGGAGAAAGAAGTTGGGGAACGAAATTCAAAATTACCAAACTTCTTTTAAATGCTTAAAAATAATTAAAAGTATAGAAAACTATAGAAAGGAGTAAGCTCCTTTTTGGGGACGAAACTATTCTCTGACGAAACAGGAAATAAATTTAAATAAATTTGCATCTTGCAAACGACTTCCGCATTTTTAAATCGGAAGTGTAAGTCGATTCCCCATCCCTGCTTTATTGACGGCATTTTAGATAATGCAAAGGTAAATTAATTTTAAATTTTAAAAATTTACTTCCTCTTCTCCTTCCTCCCGCGCATTTCCTTACCCTTTATATGCCCCTCACCCTCTCCCTTCTCCACATTAATTTATTTTTTTTACAATTTTATTCGAGAAAAATGAATATTTTTTATTTATTTTTAATTTTAACTTTGAATTTCTTTCAACATAGCAATGGAATGAGACCTTCAAGTATTATTTTTTGATTTATTAAACTTTGTATTAAATTTCTATTTTTTGATTTAAAGGAGGAAAAGAAGTTGTTGAAAGTCATCATTCAGCAAATAGACAGAACTGCCCTCCACCCTTACCGCTCGGTCATTTAAATGAAAAATTCCCAGAATTATATTTTGAGCTTGCCGAATTATCTTACCTAATTCATATTTTTAAACAAATTGAGATTGAAACATTTAATAATAATGCGGGAATGCTAAATATACTCAAAGGGTTAAGTCAGTTGAGATTTCAAGAAGGAACTCCTCAATATATTTTGGTTGACAACATGTTTGAAAAGATTGAAATGGTAAAATAATATATATATATATATAAATTGTTTTTTAAATAATTTTCTAATAAGTGTTGACAGTACTTAGATGTTAATTTCAGTTCTGTGTCAGTAAAATCCTTTTGTTAATGATTGTTGATTGTTTCCCCATGATTGTTACCCCACCGAAGGGTTTTTGTATTACCTAGAATGTTACCCAATGTTGTCTTTTAGTAACATTTTACATGAACCGTTGTCCCTCTATATCAGGGTTCCGATCGACAAAATGCCAACCAAAAGTACAAAAATCTCGATTTAAAAGTACATAGGGACTAAATTTCCAAATAAAAAGTACACTCCAAATTAAATTAAAAAATTTTTTTCTGAGGGAGGGGTCAAGGGGAAAATTTTGAGAAGTTTGGAGGTCCTTAAGCCAGATTTCTTCCATTTTTTCCTGAATGTTGATTTAAAAGTACAATACTTTTAAAAAAGTACGAATCGGAACCCTGCTCTATATGGTGTATGTAACCACTTGTAAACAGGTTCCTTTACAGAACAGGTCAAAGAGCTCTATAAACTACGATTTATTTTGACCTATGGGAATGGGCAATCAGTCAATTATAGATTCAAATTATTAATTATCAATTATAGACCTTCATATCTTAGCTAATTTTTTAATTTAATAAACAAAGGTCATCAACTTTTACGACAATTTATTGGATAACTTTCAACAAATAAAATATCATTTGGGACAAAGTATTCCAGCACAAAATGAACGAAATATTTTCATTTCATGGCATTTATTTAGTTTTGTTAGAAATCTTATTCGTTCTGCTGTTTTAAAACACAGACATTTTGACAAGCTGTTTTTACCTTCAAAGAAGTATTTTTAATTAAAAAAATAAAATTATTGAAAATAGTAGATTTAAAATAAATTTTCTAAAAGAAGATCCTCCTCTCCCCTCTCTTTAAAACACCTAAGGTTTATACACCTCTTCCAATTTTCCACGAAAATCCGATATTTTTACGGGATTCTGCAGAGTTGAAGATCTAGACAGAAAATCTACATTTTTTCAAGCTTGCAGGAGTGAACTAATAATCCCGCTCTCTAGAAGGGCTTACCCCTCCAATGAGAGGGTTTTCTTCTGTGACTATTTTAAAGAAGCTACGATATCTAATTTATTTTTTACTTTTTTAGCAAGATTTCAATTTTGCTTTATATGGAGGCTTTTGATATTTTTGAAATAAAGGCAAATATATTTATGGAAAAACTTGAAGAATTAGATATTTATAATAATGATTTTGATGTTCAATTTGATTACAATGCTTTTCAATTTAGTAATTATTTTCTGTTACATCCAAACATTTCCTTCTGGGGAACTTTAGGATAAGAGAACTAGATAGAAATTAGGCTTATGTTTATGGTATTTCCCAGACCTGCTCACGGATACGGATAATATCCGGATACCCGCGGATATCCGCGGATACGGATGGATATGGATAGTGTTTTTAAAAAAATTGGACGGATACGGATGGATACGGATATGATGCTTCAAATCCGCGGATATCCATCTCAAAAAGCTAGCCTGCGGTGCAAAGAAAGTGAATTTTTTCGCTTTTGGCCTTTCAAAATTTCTAAAATTTTCGCCTGCGGCGCTAAAAAGGAAAGAAATTTGACTTTAAATCATGGAACTTCTCAATTTTTCGCCTGTGGCATTAGAATGAAGAACTCTGGTTTCCTCAGCTTTAAAATTTTCATCTACGTTGCTCCAATGTGCATAAACACTTAAGGTACGAAGTACAAGTCCAGGCCATTCAGTGGTAAGTACGAGCAAAATTAGCACGTACTCTTTTAGCTGACAAACGAAAATTTTCAGAGAGGTATGGAGAATTCCCCCACCCATTCCCGAATCGGGAAAAAGGAAAAAATTTGGTGAGGGGATTGGGCAAAAAAGTGATTTTTTTGGCCTACGCCTTTCTAAAATTCTCAAAATTTTCGCCTGCGGCGCTGAAAATGAAAGATTTTTCGTTTCTTTGTCCTCCAAAATTCTCAAAATTTTCGCCTTCGGCGCTAAAATCAACTCGTCAGTTACCCGAAATTTATATTTCGGCCCGAAACCGGGAATTTAACTATTCAAAAATTCTCAAAAATTGGCAAAATTTTATTTTTTTGTCGGTATGATTCCTGATAAGCAGCGTTGGATCGGAATTCCTATCTCTGCCTTCCGATTTTCGACCTCCGATGTTCATAAGCAAGGTTAGTTTAGCTGCATCCAGTTATTACCTCGTTATCTAACCATTACTCGAATTTAAATAAATTTGACCATTTTGAAAATTCTAGACAGGCTGACCATTTTGAGAAAAAACGGATATATCCGCGGATATCCGCGGATGGATATAATCAAAAGTTGGTCGGATACAAACGGATACGGATATTGACCTCACGGATATATCCGGATACGGATAGCAAAATCCGTGCCCATGAGCAGGTCTGGTATTTCCTCCTATATATTTTAGTTTTCAATTGTACATCTGTAACTTTACGATTTTTGAGTAAAATTTATCAAAATTTTGTGATAAAAATTAATTTATTTTTAAATAAAAATATTTCCCAAAAATACAAAAATAAAAATAAAATTAAAAATAAATTTAAATTTTCAGCACGTCATCAAAATAAAATGTTAATGTCTTTGAGACTAGCAGAATGTGAACATGATATTATTTATCCTGCTCATTTTATAGATTTTACTGAAAATATTAATTCCCTTCTACCATTTTTGGCAATAATTTTTCGTCATTCTATAAGTAAATATTTTTTAATTTAAATTTCTAATTTAATTCTTTAAGTCCCAACAGAACGAGCAAAGTTAACAAGAAAGGAGTGTGATGAAATTATAGCTAATTGCTGTAAGCTTTTTTAAAAATAATTCTATTCTCTTCTTTATTTTCATGGGTATCTTCACAAAATCGGGATCGGATGTTTTTAAACTGAGAGCATTTAAGCTTATTCCCGATGTCAATCATATTTATTTTCTCCAGCATTTGAAAAGCTTATTTGGTAGGGAATAGGAAAAACTAAAAACATTCTGGACTGAACTAAAAATCCACAAATTTTTAGTTAATTATAATTAGAGATCGGATTTGGAGGATATCAAGAAATATCAATCTTGTCAAACAAGATTTTGTTCGAGATATCATCTCAGACCGATCTCTAATAGTTATAATAAATTCTAGAAAGAAAATACAGTAATCGATGTTACGACATCCTTCATGACCGTTTTAAGCTGACATGAAAAGGAAGTTTTGATCGAGTAGTAGTAGAGTTGAGCGGGAATGATCTCAATCCGACTGCGGGATCGGATTGGCCGAAATTGGGATCGGAATAATGATCCCGACCGGGATCCCGATCCCGCTAAACCCTATTGAGTAGTTGTAATAGAGTGATTTATGTTTTAAGACTTAAAAAAAGGAAGAGGGCAAAATATTTTTAAAAAATATATCCAAATTTTAAATTAATTAAAGATGATTTTGATGATGCTGAGATTAATACACCATTTTATGTTTTTTATTATAACATTAATTTTCTTATTCAAAAAAAACTTGAACAACAAATTATTAATCCTTATTTAATTCAACAAATTAGAGATGAAAATGCCGGAAGAATAGAAAGAGAATATTTGGCGTTTGCTAAAAAACCTGGGCTCTTTCCTTAAATCCCTCCAATAACTATTCATGGAATCAGGACCATCCAGGTTGAACTTTTTCTCGTCCGAAAAAATGACCTACAACAAAAAAAATATTCGCTAAAACATCGATGAAACATGCCTTTCTCCATACTAGGGGAAAAGGAACTTTCAGCTCGGCAAATGCAACCCTCGCGGCCTTATGCAAATCAGTAAGAGTTGGACGTTTTTGCATCTTTTGTCGGACAATGTTTGGGGAGGATTTAAGCAATTTCCAGACAGTTACATGAGAGACATCGGGTGCTAGCTCTTTTTGAAGTTTGCGAACGCCTTTTGTTGAATTTCCAACCTCACGCAAAATTCGCCTCTTGGTGCGGTTACCTAGCTTTTTCTTTCGTCCCTGACCTTTAGATAGATATTTATGTATTGGGAATGGATAATTAACCTTTGGTTTTGCCATATAAATTGCCTTTCGATAAGAAATTGCGTACAACACGAGGAGAACGAGCCAGAAGTCGCGCAATTTCCTTTTTTGGAACCCCAGCGTCAAAAAATGCTTGAATCTGTCCTTGTTCGAACTCTGTCAACACTTTTCCTTTTGGCATTTTTATAAATAATTATTTTCTAAAAACTTGAGTAGATAATAATCATAAAAAATGTAAATTTTAATAAAGGGGGTTATAATTTCTTAACACCATTTCTGAGGTAAAAATTGAAAAAAAAACTAGGAAGTTAAAGAAAATTTATATTATGTGGATATACATATTATCTAAACAACAAAACGTCAATGAAAAAAATTTCAGAACAATCCGACAACGGGAAGATAGAGAAACTCAAAAAATTCAAGGGGGGTTATAATTTCTTAACACACTGTACGATACTGATAATGAATTTGCAGAAATAAATAATGGTAAAGAAGTTCCACCACAATTACGCATAGGAGTTATGACACAAGTAAATTATTTATTTTTTAAAGCAATATGTACGAGACCTTAGTACATAGCAATATGTACGAGATTTTCGTGATACATTTTAATCAGTGCATAATTATATAAAAGGTTCAAAAAGATTTGATGATTATTCATCAGGTTATATGAGAAAAACGGGATAAACATTGTACTTTTAGAAGTGAATAGTATTGGGTATATTAAAAAAACAATAGTTTATAAAAAATTATTATTTAAAGATTCTGCAAGAATGTACTGTGATGAAAGGTGGGCAGCAACAAGCTAAAGGAAAAAGTGTTCAATATCCAGGAAGTGGAAGCAGAAGAGGAGGAAAAGATTGAGCACACGATTTTCAAGGGCTGGTTGGATCGGTGTTTTTTTTCCTTTGGGTCGGGTTTCGGGTAAAAAAGTCCGGGTTTCATTGGGTCTAGTCAGTTTAAAGAATTACAATTCAGCTAAAATATGAGAAAAAGAATTTTGTCCTTTAATAGTCTAAAGTAGGTTTTTGATTCGACAGGTTCTCCAAGGCCGGAAATTTTCCAGTACTCAATACCAATACGGAGAACCAGTTTTCAATGGAAAATGTCGGTTTGGATTTTGGAAAATTTCTTGGTTCGGTTTTCGGGTTGAAAAAAGTACAGATTTTGGGTAATTCGGGTCCCTGCTTGCTATTTATCTAATTATTACTTTTTATTTGAGTTGAGAAATCAGACTTTAACATCTTTAGACTAAATTTTTTGGAACTTTTTCATTTAAAAAAAATATTTGGCAATAGTTTATTTGTGGTACACTTCTCTGTGAGTTTTCGTCTCTAGAAAAAAGAATTATTTTCGAACTCAGCTCGGCGAGAAGAATCAAAGTTTATATATTTAGAATCTGAGTCTCGTGTCCAACAAACTATACTACAGCCAAATATTATCTTTAACTTTTATTTTTTATTGGATTAAACCATATTTTTAAACGTATAAAAGGACAATTTTTCTATCGAGTGTAAATAAAATTTGAAAAATAAATAAAAACTAAAGTTCGAAATTTGAAAAATTCAAAATTTTTTCTTATCTAGAGATCTGGGTAGAAAATAAGGATGGCGGTTCCTGGAAAATCTGCGGATATCAGGAACCGGAACCGATATCCGAACCGAAATTTTCGGATATCCGGAACCGGAACCGGTATCCGAACCGAAAATTTCCGGATATCCGAGGTTTTTTCGGTTCCGGATACCCGGAACCGCCAACCTTAGTAGAAAAATATTAAATACAAATTTTGTATACCATCATTCTCTGTCGAATTTTAACAACTTTTTTTATTCCTTCCATAATTTCTTATAGTTATTCCAAGCTCGGAAATGTTAAAATGAAATAGGATGATTTTTCGAGTTGGACATTGAGTAATAAATTTTACAGAATATTTACGTGAGCTAAAAATATTAAATTAATTATGCCCAGACTTTGTAATAACTTGACTAAAACTTTGTTATTTTATTTCCAGTAAATACAGTGAGGAGCAAAAGTTTGGAACATATTAGTTGGAACATATTTTATATTTTATACCTAAAAAATAAGGGGTGCAAAAGTTTGGAACATTTTTGATTTCATTATATTTTAATGTCAAAATCTTAACAAAAAAATCTAGAAAAATTCATGCAAGCATATTGATCTATAATAAAGTAAAATAAAAAAGAACTAGGCCCATATCCCATTTCGTTGTCGAAAGCTCGCTACCCTGAAATCAACGTAAAATGGGGGTAAGTCACTTAAAAAAATATTTTCGACACCTTATGGATAGTTTTGAATTTTCATTTTGAGCTTATCTGAAAGCCCTTGAAATTTGCTATAAGATAGCATTAATATAATTTTTAAAAAAAATTTGATAGCGAGATTGTGACCATTTATCTTTCTGATACAACAAAAAACGCCTAAATGCCCCATAAAATGCCCTTTCAAAAATAAAAGGGTCTATATCACTCGAATAGATTTTTCCTGATAAGTAAGATTATAACTATCTTGTAGCAAATTTCAAGGGCTTTCAGATAAGCCCAAAATCGAAATTTAGAATAACCCATAAAGGTCGAAAATATTTTTTAAGTGATTTACCACCATTTTACGTTGATTTCCAGGGTGTCATGATCTCCGGTTAGAGTAACGATATGGACACAGTTTCTTTTTATTCTTTTACAATATCATTATCTTTGGTCGATGAAAATTTTATAGATTTTTTTCGTTGGAGTTTTGCATAAAAATACAACAAAATCAAAAATGTTCCATACTTTTGCACCCCTTATTTTTTAGGTATAAAATACTTTAAGGATAAAATATATGAATATCTGAAGATATTTAAAAACTTTTATTGTTATTCCATAGACAACACTTATATTTAATTTAAAAAAATTTAATCCAGCCCATTCGTTGAGAAATGAACGAAAATTTATTGATTAACTAAATTACAACAAAATGTTCCAAACTTTTGCACCTTACTGTATTTAAAATATAATTTTAGATAATTAGAAATGATCTTCTTTGTTTGTTTTTTATTTATTGACAAATTTAAATTTTTTTTTATTTTTACATTTTAATCTGTAATTTAGATACGGACATTTTTTACTTGCTTTTTAATCACAATCAGTATATAATAATTTCCTCAGATCGCGCAATAGTTATAGGAATGACGGAATACCTGACTGATCATTTTTTCGCTTTTTCCCTTAATTGACTATGGATAGAAAAGTCCACGGGAAAGTTTATTATTTCTCAATCCATTTAATAAATCTACTTCATAAAAAATATACTTTTAAAGGGCAAAAAGAATATTTTCAATGAAATTTTAATTTCTTAATTTTCATATCAATAATTTTCATAAAATTCGAAATAGCTGCCAGTCAATCTGTGTGGTAATAAATACTAAATTTCGTAACTTCCTTTGGTTACCTCTTCTCATTACCTCTATAAATATTTACAATTCCTACACCTAACTTGATCATTTTATCAAAAAATTGAAAACATAAAATTCTTCTATTGAAATATTCTTTTTGACATTTAAATGCGAGACAAAGCAAAATTATTGTCAATTTTTGCTTTGATTCTCGCCTTGAATTTTAATATTGGTTCCGCTGTGAACAACTTTGATGAAGGTATATTTAAACAAAGACCGTACTGTAAGTATTGTACGAAAATCTTACCAAATCTCGAAGTCTCGATAACCGATAACCGACATTCTTGTTCGAGATCTCATCGCGGTCCAAACTTTATTTAAAACACGGTTTTTATGTTATTTTTACAAAAGTTTCCTTAATATTTGTATCATAAGTGGAGTGATTTTTTTATTTTATAGATGGAGTGTTAGAAGAAAGTCGCATTGAACGCTTAAAGAATTTTGCTGAGATAGATAATTCAACTGGAATGCCTCGTGGGGGTGTATCCACAGATGATCCGATTCAATTCGAGGAATATAAATATCTCGAAGAACATGAGGAGTATAAAAACCTTTTTGATATATTTACTAAAGCTTTTGACAGATTTGTAAACAAAATTAACGAATTTGCGGAAATAAATTTAAAAAATATTAAATTACGTTTTGATAAAACAGAAGTTATTGCGAATGAATTAAAAGATTATGATAAAATTGTGAAAAAATCAAATAAGCAGAAGATAAATGAGAAAAAGGCAAGTAAACTTTGAATATATTTTTGGCAAACCTTCACCTAAGAGAATAAGATATATTAAATTCAAGATATCTGCCAGTTCATCACACGTGGAATACTACAAAAAATTGATAAATTTGGTTATTAAATGCAAAACCTTCATGATATATTTATATACTGAAGGCACAGAAAGCACTTTGTTTGATACTGACTCCTTTATGGAAAAAGTACCCTCTACTTTAAAACACCCAGAAAATTTGTTGAATATTACCGCATTAAATTCTTTGAAAATTATTTTTAATCTATCAAAAATACAAAGCAAACAAATGGATAAAGCTATAATCAAAGTACTCTACAATCAGCATTTGGAAAATAAAAAATTGAGAAAAGAATATAAAAATGTAATTGTGGAGAGTGATGGTCCACTAAGTTTATATGCTGCATTTGAACTTTTTATGGGTATTTTTAATAAATATTAAGCATGGGATATATAATACAGTAGACTCAGTCTATTATGCCTTATGGATAATAGGCAGGTCTTTGTAAGTAATTAATCGAGATTTTATATCTGAATCTCGTTTTTCCACTTCAATGAAATAACCTAACTTGTAACAATGAGTGCTGATTGCGAATCAAATAATCTTCAGAAGGAATGAATGTAACTGTTTTGAGTGGTCATTCAAATACTGGAATAAATGATATAATGTATATTAACACCAAATGGGTGTCAAAATTGCGTCTCTTTTTGGGTTCTGAATTTGAAAACGCAATTTCTGAAGAAGAAAAATCAAGAATAAATTTGGCTAATAATGAAATTGGTTTAAAGATGAAAAATTTAGAAAATTCGTTAAAAGAACGTTTAAACGCTTTGTCATATTATGTGAAGGAAAAAGAGGAGCTTGAAAAAAGTGAAAAATCTTTTTTGAAATTGCTCTGTGATACAAACATTTTGGAAATAAATAATGTTAAAGAAACCCCACTGGCTATTCTAGATAAAGTTGATAAAAGGAAAAATGTTGAAATTCATTT